AGATTTTACACGCACGTTCTGGTCGTCTACCTGCTTCCAAAGGTGTCACTTATATGAACTGGATCCTTCGCACAAGATACAGCTACCATCATAACTTTCCCGCTCCGATGCGACACTGTTATGCCGCCTTTAGTTGGGTGTTGTTCACAAAGGTGTACTCTTTTCGCATCGGTATGACAGACAGCTGTACATGCGGAACTGAAGAGACCATCTAAAACGTCCTGTGCATGTTGTTACGCGTATTGCCCTTGACACTCGGTGTAGTTTGGAATTACACTGTCGAAATACCCCGCACAGTATTACCGAGCCTAAGCGAAGGAGAAAAAAACGACTCGCTAGGGAAGAATATATTTTGGTATCGCTCTACCACTCAAAAAAGCCGTGTACGCAACGTGTCGGGTGCAATGAGGCTTGTTGCTCGCAAACATGATAAACTCTTCAGTCATGATAGCTTCTCAACCCCCCCCCCCCCCTAACTGGTGCCGCTTCATGAGGTGTGAGCCTCTTTAGTAACATGCCGTTTTTTATTAATGATTGTGAGCCTAACATCAAAGTCATCGGATCTTTTCTGACAGACAGACATGCGTTTGCCTTGATGGCGTATTGAGCCTGTAGAAAAAAGTTAACGTAGCATATAACACTACATTTCTGCACTATACCCTTCTTCGTAATTCTCTTTTTCGCTTTTCTGAACAACTGGTTTGGCAAACTAAAGGTGGCACAAGTTACGGTTCAAGTGAAGAACAAGCGATGGTACACAGGCCCGGGCTTATCTCTCGCGAATGGCTCAAGTAATATAAGCAAATCGTGTTTACAGCAGACACTGTTTGCGAAAATGACTACGCCGTCATCACTTGAGCAAGTTGCCTCACAGGAAAGCTGACTCTATGCTCTAAGAGTTTCCACGCCTTCAAGAACGTTGCGTTTTGTGATGGTTAACACGTTCATCATACGTGCATTGTTGTCTTTCTCTAAATGTGAGAAGAGAAAAACTTTATTGGGCATGACAACGAGTTCGGAAAACATATACGACGACAAAAACCATCGTTATAAACTTCGTGATAATTCTGGTGTGGTGTGCACCGAACTATGTGATACTAAAATTAGGCAGTGATAGCTGCACAGAACCATACCACTTTACGATTCATGTACTGCGGCCATCATAATTTTCATTTGCAATGAAAGCCCAGAAAACGAAAAAAAAAATGTTTTTTTTTTTTTCAACCTACGGTTCACCTTTTGTCAGAGTGTTAGCGATGTCATGAGCCAGCACTCTTTGTGCACATACTAAGGCGTTACTTTTTGTACATAAGAATGTATAAAAAAAGTTGTGATTTCGCTGCAAGAATGTCAAAATAGATGAAATAAAAAGGGGGTGATTTGGAAGGAAAACAGGTCACTTATTGTTTTATTCTTTTTCTATAGGTGTTCTTTTCAATCGCGAGAAACTACCTGGATTTACGCAAGTCCGATCTATACCTCTTCAATTTAAAACGCAAATTGAGCTAAAACATTATGTAGCTTGGTGAAGCCAAAAAAGAAAAAAAATGCATGAATATCCACAAAGTGAATGATGACGAGTAGGCGGACTTCGGTTCTAAGGTCTATAATATCTACGTTTAAGTCTCCGACTAGTATAAAGGATTTGTGCCTGTAGGTGTTTATACTGCTATGTCACAATTATAATCGATATGCGTGCATAGTTAAATCATTTTTGTGTCTCACGCATGTTTTCTCGAGCGCTGCCTCATATAATGCAAATTCAGCGGCATAAAGAGTGGACAACAAGGCTCGGTAGATCCTAATATCCATAATATCTTCATTGAAGTCACCGACAATTGTATAAAGGGTTTGGGCTTGCGGGTATTTTATATTGGTCCTTCGCAATTATAATTGTCGTTCGCCTATTGTTAAGTTTTTTTTTATTCACATACAAACATGCTTCCGCTATAGTAATGGTTTTCTAACTACCATGACAGCAAACACTGAAGGTCAACGACAAAGTTAGTTTTTAAGGTCTGTAATATGTATGTTAAGTCACCGACTAGTATAAAACTTTTGTGCTTTTCAGTGTTTTGTATTGTTCTGTAATATTAGTCTATTGTGGACAATATTTGAGTCTCATATCCACGAATCTCCCCGCGACGAACCTGGACGACAAGGCTAGGCCCCAAGCAGCTTCGCCCCTAAAACCTGGCCAGCTAAGCAGCCTCATTTCTTCTACTCGTGAAGAGCTCACGAATGGCAACAAAATTTCATTATCGAAGCAGAGCCGGCCACCAACATGAGCGTACACTTTGAATAGTATCCAAATATTTATAAATAATTATAATGAGGCAATATAAGTGCTTCTGTGTTCTTTCTCAAGCTCCGCAAAATCGAATTCTTTGTTCGGCTGCATGCTTCAGCCGTTCGTTCGGCTGCGAACTCATTTATTATGACAACCGAATTCCCTGACAGTGAAGGGCCCATTCTCTTTTGCCTGAGAAAGAGAGAGAGAGAATTTATATACAGAAAGGTAGAGAGGTCGGCCTAAGCTATAGTTTGCTTTTATTTTACCTCAAATGATTGCGTTTATCCACTACGTAGAACTGCGAAAGAAATCAGCGGCTGCAAGGTACTTTGTTAACAGACACATGTGTAATCGTGAGCGCGTTTGTATGTGTGTGTGTGTGTGTGTGTGTGTGTGTGTGTGTGTGTGTGTGTGTGTGTGTGTGTGTGTGTGTGTGTGTGTGTGTGTTTGTGCGTGTGCATGCGCGTGTGCGTGTGCGTGTGCGTGTGCGTGTGTGTGTGTGTGTGTGTGTGTGTGTGTGTGTGTGTGTGTGTGTGTGTGTGTTACAAAATTTCAGTGGTAATGATAAAGCTTGTTAGTCTATAAAAATCATTTAGTAGTACATGAATCATTTTTATTGTTTATCTTTACTGTCAAAAGATCATTATTTAAATTATGCAATACAATTATATCTTATCACATCATATCTATCATATGAAATCATTTGTTTTTGTTTGATACAGAAGGTGTCGTGCTCAATTACATTGTGACGTACACTGTGGAAATCTATTTATAGTACGTCCATAAAGATAAGCACCCTTGCACTGTACGTGGCTCAGGGTAGACTAGATGTAAATCAATATTTAGGGTATATGTGAGCAGGAATTTTTTTCAAAAGCATCCTGCTTATAAGGCTCAATGACTCAACCTAAGAAATATGGCGTCAACAAGACTTTTTTTTTTTACTGGCAACTGATTTTTATTCGAATGAAACGGGGACAAACAAAAGCTAAAATTTTGACAGAACTAATCACATGATGTATTTTAAAGCTGTGAATGTTGTACGTAATAATGTATCTTTACCAAAAAGGGGTATGTAATCTTTGAAACGTGGTGTATACGGCCAATGTGACATGAACAAGAAAAAGAAACATTGTAACGACTGCAGCTACAGAATGCACAAGATAATACAGTACAACCCATTAAAAAACATGTTTTCGTTTCCTAGTCTTGCATGTTTAGTCACTGCTTTTGTTCATCTGGCTGACTCCTTATTTCTTCCGTTAGGCATGCTCCAACTAGCCCAACAAAAAGATCTATTCAATGACACCTTTTTAAGGATTCGCCATAAGGTCAGAAGTGCTGATTTGGGGTAATATCCTAATGGCGCAGTGCAAACTACGAGAGATTGGCCTGTTCCTGCACATTAACAGTGCTGTTACGCAGGACACTCAGAAATTGTGAACCTATGGGCTACCTTGTAAACACTGTGCTATAGCTGCTGCGACGTAGCTGTTCCTCACTAACCGCTCAGCGAATCACCTATTTTTGTTGTACATGTTCGAGGCTTGTATATAGACCTCATTGTCAGGTGCGCATTTTTTGTGCCTGTCGCTTCTGTTCTTCTGTCCTGAATGGTAGTACGAAAAATTTTGTGCAAACAGGCCGTCATATTGTCATGAACAATAACTGCGCGATGTACCAAATTCGACACTCCTCCATTACTGTAATCTCTATTCTGGCCCCTGGAGTGCATGCACTTACACCACTGTTTAAGGTGTGTGTGCAGTGCAAAGCCTTTTTTTTTTTTGTTCTGTCTTCACTGTATTCGGCTTAAGAGAGCTTGTTGCGTGATAGCGCCGTTATTTTTCTTCGTTACCTGCTACTGGTTGAATCACCACGTAACGTATGGAGATTCGATAGAAAGTGAGAGCTAGCGGTGGCAAGGGGCGATACTTCGCAGGCTGTCTGACTCATTCAATAAACGCACATTAAAGTGAAAATTCCCGCTTAGTGTATTGTTGCAAACTATCACCCCTCGTGATTCATAACAATTCGTACACAGCACGTGGCTAGCTCCCCCGGTATTTGTGTCTCACAGGAAACGAGAGAAAGTTTCGGGTCTAGTGAAGTTCGAACCTAATTGGAGTTTAAAAACTACAGAGATAAACAAACAAAAATAAACATATCAAACGTCAAAAAGATTTTATAAGCTGCAAAATACTATAATAAGAAATGTCAGCATAAAAAACGTTTAAATGAATGCAAGTAGCATGAAAATAGGAATACAACGAATAAACTGATAAACAAAAAACAACGATTAAATAAATAAATTTTATTTGTTTACTTAAAACGGTGCAAGAGATCACTACATGAAAAAAAGAAAAGTACTGAACATCCACAGTCCAATCTTTTCTTTCCCGTCTCTGATTTCCTACGCCATTCCTTCGTTGTGAAATCATAGTGACAAATTAACTTTAGGCCCGTTTTAATGGAATTTCTTGATGTGTCGAAGCGCGCTGTTGACTCAACGAGATGAAAGCGGTGCACTCAAATTGGATAAAAAGTGCTAGAATGTCTCAACTTGTGCAGCAGATTTGTAAATCTAACCGAGCACATATCTACAAGCAAATATTAGCGCAAGTTAGGAGCTTCTGCAAACGAAAATGGCGTTGTGCTCTATCGTGACTTCGTAGGTTAATTCGGTAAAAGCCCGTCCTCCACTTGCCTTTTGCTTGTTCCTCAAAGCGATCCGCTGATGTTCGGTGAACTCGCCGATGCAGCGGCTTCCCCAAAGAACACAGCTCATTCGTGAGTAAGTAACAACCATTGTAGAAACTGGAACTGCGTACGTCAGCGCCAAGAAGAGGATGTTGTACCTGCAGGGCAACAGCAGTCACTGCAATATATATATATATATATATATATATATATATATATATATATATATATATATATATATATATACATATATATATATATATATATATATATATATATATATATATATATATATATATATCACCACTTGTTTTGAACTGTCCTGGCGAAATCAATAACAATGTAGCGACAAGCATATATTTTTCTCAGTGAACCATTCCCAGCCGTATATGTAATTCATCGTTATTTCCTCATTCGGTAGACGACTTTGGATACTTAGTATGCAGCCCTCCGTAAGTGCCAATGACCGAATAGGCAACTAATGCTATATAGTGTTTGCCTATTCTGGGTCTCTTCACACTCTTTCGCGTGAAGAGAAAATAAAATTGATGATTATTTATTTGATTTTAATTAGAAAAATAATTGATTGATTGCTTCCGAATAGTTGTGTCACAGTGAAGACATGAATATGATATCCTTAAAGGCGTTTAATTATACCCATGTCGCATATCTCTGAACTTAGACCACCCATCAACAATGTTAACCCCCAACAAGCATCGCTCATGGCTTTTATCTTCGTAACGCTGACAGCTTGCAGCTACGGGCAAGAAAGCTGTGTTCGTCTCATTCACTATCTCACCTCGCGAACTCGAAGGAACTTCAAGTCATTTATCATTGAATAAAGCATGTGGTTAACTTGCTTTCATCAGTTTTTATTTTATTTTTCTACAGTAGACATTCGTGTGCGCTCTCATAGATAGATTGATCGAGATCAAGTGATCCACGTTGCGAAAATTTTATCTTTGGTGCTTCAAGGCAATGATACATTACTTGAAAATAGCGTTGACGCCACTGATAATGTTTTGATCTCATAAAATTTGTTGAAATTTAACCGTAGTAACGCCTCTAATTCCAGAATGTTCTGTCTTATCTGTCATTAAATGTTATAGGTGCCATTGCTCATAATTGAATATCTTTACCCCATCGTCGCTCTCAGCCCTATGCTCTCTCTCATACGGAAAGTGAGTTCACCATCCGTCATCTGTGAAAATAAAATCAAGTATCTGTGACACAATGGTGCATACTAGCGCTTGTTTTGAAGGGATACCTTACTGCACCGAACAAAAGACGCCGGATGAAATGGCACAAAAAGCGTCACACAACACCCGCCTCTGCCTGTGGTCTATTTCGCCCTCTCATTTACTATGGTTTCTGTGCTCTCTGAAGTAGTAGTAGTAATAGACTTTTATTCAGCCACAATTTACAGGCCAAGCATTTTGACCGCCTGTGCGACCAGTCAACACTGTTCTTCTTCCCCTTCAGCACCGATTCAGTCGAGCCAAGAGGTGATGGAAAGGAATGGGGCAGGGTAATAGCTGGATTGCTGAGCAGTTGAGCAGTAAAACAGGCAGTGTGACAGCTCGGCATATGGGGAGGGGCAATTGGGACAGCAGGAGTTAAACCTATATTTATAAAGTAAAACGTGAGAGGGAGTTATCAGGTAATTCATTTAGATGTGCCGTAGAGTTCGAGCCTCGAGCGCAGTGAGTGATGGATTAGGGGGGGGAGGGCAGAGACGCTTGTCGAGCCTGAGCTGGAGATATACCTCTTTGATAGTGTGACGCAAGGAGATCTGCCCATCGTTATTCGCGGAGCTCTCACTGTCTTCCGAAGGTGTGGGCCAGGGAATGAACGGTGCCCCATGCAGTATATCGTGGGCAAGCTGATGAGCCAGCTCATTGTCATTAATACCTGAATGCCCAGGAACCCAGCGGAAAAAAAACAGTGGAGGGTTAAAGAGCAGAGATCGCTCGCTCTACCTCCTGTTGAAGAGCAAGGGGCAACGTGTTGTTCTGTATGTGACAGATGGCGGCGTGATAGTCAGAGTAAATTTTTTACTCGGGGACAGAAGGGAAGAAGGAAAATGACTGCATAGCGCGGACTATGAAAAGGATCTCGAGCGAAAGTACATTTGGCGGGTGGAGGTATGGCCTGCTTGTGTGCGTGTCAGGTGCCGAAAGGTATAAAGGGTATAAACTACTGGAAGCAAGGAGAAATGAAGAGCCGGATGCACTAACAGCTTCCAATTTGCGCAGCTTCCACTTGTAGTAGATTGCGCCGATTCCGAAGTCTGCGTGACGCCGACACGGTGGTGGAATGAAGTGTTGGTGCACGCACTTCGTTTCAGCATATCTGGTGCGAGAGACTCCCGTTGGTGGCGGCTCGACTTATTGCGCAGCAGTTGTTCCTCTCATTTTACTCCGAAAGATAGTACCTACTATCTTTTCGAGAAGTATTCTTATGATTCCATTATTCAAGTGTGTACCTGTTTTAGGTTTTTAAATGTGAATGATATCTCAGCGAACCACTCAGGATTCTTCTTCCTGTTACTTTCTCTCTGATTTCTATGTTTACCTTTTTTTTCTCTCTGTTTCTCCTGACGTTGTTGTCGCTGCTTTTGCTTCAGTCCCCCCCCCCCCCCCCCACTGATTCCCAACATGGCAAGTAGGATGCATCTAGAAGTACAAAACATGCTCAAATACTTCCACGTGGTACCAAAACATCGACCAATGACGTCGTCAGTGTCGTTTCTCCTTTGTGACACATCTTCCGAGTGCGGCTGTGTTGACACTCGACAGTGGGTGACGGCACAATGGAGATCGTCCAGCCACGCGACATCCGCTGCAATAGCTAAATAAAAGCTAATCGCGTTTAAGATTGACTGATCTGTGATTCAAACGAGACAAAGCATTTACAGCAATATAAATAACGGCAATGATTAACAGATAATGAAAGAGGGAATCATTCTAATTAGGCAGAAACCACTTTGCTTTGAAGAGGTGACTTAACTTCGTCAAGGCCTGAGTGCCCAAACAATAGCATTAGCTCGTTTCTGTTCCCAGACTAGTCATTTGCGTTTTCAACATTCTTTTTTTACTGAACGTTCGTAAGCTAGAGCTGAAATCAGCTCCATCTTGACAAATACGGAGCTGCTCATTGTGCCTCCAGACAACAAACCGCTTCCGATGATGTTTGTGCAACGTTTTCTTACGAACAAGTTCCCTGGTAGATCGTTTCAGAGCGCGATACAGAAGGCACAAGTGTATTTTAAGCAGCAACACAAACCGAAATATCACGGGTCGTCTCGCTTTCTAAATTAAACGAGATGTGATGGCGATAGTTATGTTGCCAATTTTTGGGCTGAAATTGTTCTTGCATCACTGTTCAAAACTTGTTTATGTCATCTATATTGTGTTTACAACGTTTTTAATGCCCTCCTTTTGCATATGTGCCGACATTTTTGAACAAGTGTCACATTTTACATTATCACACATGTAATCCGGTTGCATGCGCAGAGAAACGTGAGCCCAAATTCACGAAATCTTCTTTCGCTAGAGTTTCTCGTGAGAAAAAATTTTAACCAATCTTCGTATTAAGTGCGTATACGTGTGTTCGTCCGCACGCGCTCGCGGTTTTAGTATAGATCAGTTTGAAGTACGCGTGCTGCAGCGCGTGTAGATGCCTCCTTTCACAAGCGTTTCATATGTATACTATGAACTCCTGGTGTTCTGCCACTTCATAAAAAAATCAACTTTTTTTGTGACTAGCACACATTTTAGCCTTCATATCGAACGGCAGTAATTACCATGGCTAAACTGTAGTCGTTTCTTTAAAATCGAGCATCACGTAAACAATGCTTTGCTCTGAAGCGTAATGCGATACGTTGGCATAAAAGGTATGCACTGAATAGTGGATAAATTGAGAGCATATACTCGCGCTTATGGCCACTCAGCCATACTGACACTCAGTCCTGCTCCTACCAACATTAACTTATTCATTGACATTAACGTATATCATCGCGTTGATATACATCAAGACAGTATTTCATCTAGTTTTACCTACGTCGTTCTTTTTCGTGCATCATCCCTCACTGCAGAGTAGAGAACCGCACACTTACCCCTGTTAAGCTGTCGGCCTGTCCACATCTTTTCCTCTCTTTTTCTATTCGTTTCTCATGTTGAGCAATCACACTGTGTATATCATGTATATGTAATCAGTAACTCCAATGAAACTGGCGTCGACGCGGGTGCTGGAAGAACGGTTTGAAGCGAAATTCGGTGTAGCGTTTACTCGAGTAGACGTTTTTTTTTTTTTTTTTTTTGAAACGCAAGGACACGGGAGGCGTTCATCTTGGTCGAACAGCAAACACGAGAGGACGACGAAGTAAAACGACACAGACAGGCGCTGTCTCGCAACTAAAAAAAAAAAAGACGGGTTGGGTTTCGTGTAAGTTTTAACGCAGATAAACAAGCTGCAAGAGTAGACAAATTTAGTCACACGTCCACAGTAGCCATACAGACGCCGCCTGCTAGCCATTTTCAATGGCAGGCCGCGTCCGTAAGGCTGCTGCGGACACGCAACTAAATCTTTCTAGTCATTACACTTGACGCACTGTCGAGCATTGCGGGTGGTGGAGAGGGTGAAGAGAGAGAGAATTGTGTTTGTTGCGAGCGGGCGGAGCAGCCAGCAGCTGCTGTGGGTGAGAGAGAAAGTGACGTCGACGCGCAGTTGCGACTGGACCAACTTGGCACCGCTCCAATACCTGCGGTGAAAGGATTGTGCGGACTCATGGGACAGCGTTTACACAGGCTAGTGAAAGAGCTGCTTCGCATTTAAAATCGCGATGCTTGTTCCAAGTAGCGCAAGACTTGAAACAGCGAAACTGGGTGATTCTGAAGTCTTCTACGTTGTTGGTATACTTTAAATTTGTGATGCTATTATGTTGCTAGACTTTAGCTACGTGATGCTTTAGATTCTTTCTATATTGGTTCTCAGTGCAGGAATGTTCGATTTTAGCGACCTACATTCAGAGACAGTCAAAGGCCCTATACAGTTGTTCAAACAAGAGAGTTAGACCCTCGCTGAAACCCAGCGCTCACATCTTTCATAAACCCTCTGGCGCGTCATCGTTTACGTAGGCTTCCATCGCTTCGGGGTC